ACCTTGTATCTTGTGAACTATTGACATTTTTAAAGATATAAGCTCATCCCAATGTTACACTCATCGAAACCTTTCATTTGAGTACCCACACCAATTTTTCATATATTTTATGTATATTGTATATATGTATATATGAAAAATATATCAAAATACTTTAAGCCTGTGTGTCGTAATATCGAAACTTAAAACCATTTATTTTAAAATAAAAATAACAAATTAAAAATAATCTATACTAATATCATAATGAGGAAAAATTTGATTGTTTGTTTACATTAAATAGTCTCCAAAACTACTGAACCGATTTAAAAAAATTTTTCACCGTTTGGAAGCTACACTATCCCCGGCTGACATGGGCTATATTACATCATAATTAATTTAAACATTTTTGTTAAATACGCGTGCGAAGCCGGAGCGAACTGCTAGTAACCATTATCATTAGTTAAGTAAATACTTACAAAAGCCGCAATTTTTATCCACAAAAATCGAGTAACTAATGTAAAAAAATTACTTTTAAAAATCCAGCTGGTGCTATTTAATATTAAGGATATAAATAAATAAATTTATAATATAAAATTGTTGGTAATTGAATCTTAATGTTTTTATTTACCAATATGAATTATTTAAATCACAGAACTTATTGATCTATTATAGATAAAAGATAATACATTTCAATCAGATTATAAATCCGGTATATCAAGTGTATTAATGTATATCTGTAATATCAATTTAAAAAATAATAATTTTCAAATGATCGATACAATTACAAACTTTTACATTCACGTAATATTTTTTTTACTATACACATTTTAATTCGGTTTTTATATCTCATATTATTGCTAGTTTAGCAAACACACATCGTTCATTTTAGAGTCTATAAAAAAGACTAAGCAATTTTTGTTAATTATTTTTTTTATTTCTTCCGAATAACCCCCCGATCGATTGCCCTTTTTCTACTAATTATTTTCCAACTGTACCATTTTATAAAACGGAAAAAGTATACTTTCAATTTACAAAAGAGAAATGTAAGTGTATATTTAAGATATATTTTAATAAAAAAAAAAAATATATAATAAAGCCATACGCTTAATTTTTACTTTTATACGATTGATAATTAAAAAAAAAAATAAGTCACAACCTAAATTTAAATAAAAAAAGCTGATGTAAAAAAAAGCTTGCCTATTAATGGAAATAAATGATAATAATAATAATATCATTAGTGATAAAGAAAAAATAGCAAATAAATTAAAAATTTACCTAAGCTATTGATTTATTTATTGTACTTTATTAACTTTAAGATTTATATTTTTTGATCGGCGATTAAATGTGAATATACTACGACACTAGTCTTTTAATTCTAATTTAAATGTTTACAACACATAAACACGATAATTTTATGTTTTATAGCACGAAAAGTCTATAGCAAGCGAAAAAACTTTTTTTACCAATAGTATAAGACATTCAACGGTTTGTTTTATAAGTTAGCTTCAAGTTATAATAACTTCTCTCTCTATTTCTTCTTTTTCCATACTTGGATTAATTTAAATATAGCTTTTTAAATTCTTCTTTTGTATCTTGTACCGATTTTTTTGATTGCAGTTTAATACCACCTCACTTGGCACAATCCAAATAATATTTACAAAAAATATGACTGATAAAAAATTGACAATTTTAAAAACATTATGTTGACAAACTTAAACGTAATAATTAAACTTAACAATTTTTAATTAAAAAATTACAATAACTATTTAAAGCTAATTTTTTATTTTCAAACTTTTTCGTCCCTCAATCAAATTGTCAACATTTAATATTAATAATTAATATTATAACAAATTATTTTTTTTATCAAGAAATTAATACTTAACATAACAGTCATCCAACAATTTATTTTTTTAGATATAAAAATTTTAAGAGGAATCTAAAAAAATTAACTTGAGTTTTCATTAATTTTTTAAGGTATAAAAATTAATAATTATTTTTATATTGTGTCTTTTATCGCTCATGAAAAAAAATATAAAAAATATTTATTTCGAATTATATAGAAAATATATTTTAAATATATAAAAAATCTATAATTAATATATAAATATATAAAAAATATGTATAATAAATATATTTTTAATAACTAATTTTTGGCCGATTTTACTTTACTGGTTTATAGATAATTTAAATTTAATTTTTATTCATAGTTATAAGCTTCCAGAGTGAGCGATGCTTATATTATCTAAATATTTTATTCGATTGTTTTAAATATTAATACGATAATTATTATCAATCTATTTAGATTTATATTATCATTCATCATACATGATTATTAATTTTTATATATTTATATGTGACTTCAAATTGTAAAAAAAAAAGTAGCTCGTGCACATTAAGATTTTTACGCATTTAAATCTATGAAAATCAATTCCATTATTATTTATAAATTTTTTTCTCGTTAATTTGATAATATCGGCGATGAAATGGCAGCTTGACTGTTAGATTGTGTCAGAGATAAAATTTTTTTTTCAATAATTACATCTTAAAAGTTAATTCAAAAATTAGGATTTAAATTTCTAATTTAAACTTTTAAGATATGTTAATAATAGATAAAAAAAAAATGTTTCTCAGTGACACAGTCTATTGACAGTAATTAAGTCAAATAAATATAAAAAAAAAAAAAAAAATTACTGTATACTATAGTTCAAATAAAAATTATTTTTAGCCGATTTTTTTTTTTTGTAAAATTCAAACATGCTTGTCTATTGAAAAGACAACAATAATATTAAATTTAAAATGTGAATGAAAATGAGATCGATTAAATACTTAATATGACGATGTTTCAGTCGAGTGTACATAATTTATAAGAATTATCCTGGATATTAATATTTTTTATCAATATTATTAAATATTAATTGTTAATTTACATTATGACCAAAAAAGGAATGCGTATGCTGTGATGTATTTTAATTATCTGACACAAAAGCCTGACAAATAATTTTAATATTTTTTTTCCGCTATTTACACTTACAATCATCTATAATTTTAATTATTTACAATCGAAAGGGCGTTGGATTAAAATTATCTGATGACTTTCTATGAATTTATGTAAAGAAATAAAAGCAACTAACCAAATATGAATAAAAGTATGCTTTCGACTCAATACAATTTATTTGTATTACTATAAATAAATAACTGACAAAATAATAATAATAAATAAAAATAATTAACTTTACTTATTTTTTTTATCCTCAGCTGCACTAGTTTCCGGTTTAGAAGATCCGGAAGTCGACGAATCTGTACTGTCAACTTTGTATCTCTTTAAAATTTTACGCGTCTCTGGACTTGTTTCCATTTTACTTTTGTTGAATATTTTACACTCTATAATTTTAGGAGTCACCGCGTCGAATTCATTGCAAGCGGAAGTTGAAGCGGAAGTTGAAGTTGAAGTGGGATTTTTCAAGCATTGGTTCGCAGCTGAAGAAGCAGTAGACATTGATACTGAAGTTGAAGTAGATGAAGTGGTAGATATCGATGAAGTTGAAGATGACAAAGATGACATTGATGACAATGATGATTTGCCGCTCTCACTGACGCAAGGTATCACAGTCCTGACGGAATCTGAAGACGCGCTGCTCTCCGAGTTGGAGCTTATTTTACTATCATCATTTTTGTCCACCCCGGAAGTATTTTTATCACTCAAACACATTGAAGTGGACTCGCTGATGTCCTTGCAATAATCGTCGCTCTTGCATCCAGTTGGAGAGTCCTTTTCTTCGGCGATTCGCGGCAATTGAGTCCCTCCACAAGAGTTAGACAATCCGACACCACCCATGGCGATGTTTATAGACATGGGAATTGTGTGTGATATCTTCGAGTACTCGCTAGATTTTTCAACAGATTTTTTTATATCATTCTTATCATTGTCTTTGGACGCGTCGCTGTTATCGTCGCTGGATTCCGGGTGTGAAGTCTGAGCGATCGTCACTCTGGGAGTTACACGCACTACGCTGTTTGCCAAAGGAGATATTGAAGTTTTATTTTCCGCTGAACGTGGGTGTAGTCTGTCGGGACTCAAGGCGCGGCGCAGTAAAGGTGAGCCTGGCTCTGCTGACTTTGGACGGCCGTAACTTTTTTTGGAGCTCGCTGGAGTAGACAAAGAAGTTCCTATTATCCAAAATAATACGGGTAATTACATGGGTTTAAATATTTATCAGTGGTGGTATTAATTTAATTATTCTTTGGTTTAAATTTGGGAAAAGTAAAAAAATTCAATAAAATAAAATTAACAACCTTGCAGTCACTATGTGACTGCCGTGACTTGTGAACTATAAATAAATAAAATTTTTGCTTTATTAAATAATGACTTTTGTTAAATTGTACGATATTTTCTTTACTATTTTCATTTTTAAAGATATAAGCTCATCCCGATGTTACACTCATCAAGAGCTTTCATTTGAGTACCCACATGCATTTTTGATATATATTTCATATATACATATATATATAATATATATAAATATATGAAAAATTGATGTGGGTACTCAAATTGAAGGTTTCGATGAGTGTAATGTCGGAATGAGCTTATATCTTTAAAAATGTCAATAGTTCACAAAATACAAGGTCTTTTCCTAATTATTAGTGAGAATGATATGAAACCATGAAAAGGCACAACTCCAGGTCAAAACGTTTTTAACGATACCAAATTTAACCATAAAAACCCTTTTTATCATGTAAATACACTGGTCACAAAATTTTGCTCATTTTCTTAATAATATAATTTAAAAATTTTATAAAATAAAAATTTGATAATTTAAACTTTACCCAAAACTGATATGATCATTAATATTTTATTTACCTGGACTGTATGACTGTGTAGTGTTAGAACTGCCAGGCTGGTGTCCAGTAGGAAAGGCCAGAGGACTTGGACTTCTTGTAGGACTGGCAGGAATTGGCGAAGGACTGGGAGTTCTTGCCAACGGTGACAGTGGAATGTGACCGACAGACTTTCTGCGATTAGGCGAGTGTATATTTTTAGCAGCCGAGTGTAATTTGTGTTTCAACCCGTGTAGTGTACTTGGCCGCTGATAATGAGGCGATTGATTAGCAATCGTGCTGATACCAGCGCCTACAGAAGTACTTGAGCCCGGTGACGAAGACGAATTCGGGCTCGAGCAAGGGCTTGAGTTCCCTCCAGGTGAATGATAAGAATCCACGCTAGGACGGTTTGACGTCGATGAGGACGGAGTACATACAGACTTAGGTAGACCAGCAAAATATGCCGAGGACTCTTGTTGAGGCGGTAAAGACCGAGTGAACGACTGAAATGAACGGCTCGGTGTTACCATGGACGGAGAACATATTCCTGCGGCCATCTGTTTATTTTCAATTAAATAAAAATTAAAAATTAATTAATAATTATTAATAATTAGTACTAAAAATTTATAAATTCAAAGTTGTTAATTTAAGTTAAGGTTAAGTACCCAGTACTTAAACAGACTCTTCAAATCGTTGTAATAAAAAATCCGTAAATTTATTATGAGTAATATGCGCATATTACAATTATCAAATGATACAGTAATTGATTTCTGTAAGTTTTTTCAATTATAAAACAAAATAATTATATTTTTGTTAACTTAAAATTTGACATGTCGAGAATAGCCGATAGGTGTTATTTTTTTTTATGAAAAAGGTACTAAATTGTAAATCAAACAATCAGTAAAAAAAAACGGTATATCATTTTAGGTAAAAAAATTGTACCACCCAATGAAATAGTCTTTTCTAAATAATACATATTTTTTGCAAAGACATAAACTATAATTTTTAATTAAAATTTTAGCGTCTAACTATACCTCCCAATTTTCAAAGCGGTACGCAGAATTTGAACAAGCTGGGGCCGTATAATTTTAAACAGCACTCTAATCTCTAATAGTTTTATAAACTCGTTATCAAGTTTGTGATTTGTATTAATTACTGCAAATTAAATGAGTTTTGTAGCTAAAAATTAGTGTAGTTAAAAATTATTGAACGTTTTGAATTAATTTTTTTTATTTATAATTGAAAATTTGCTTTATCATTCATAAAAATTGTATTTGAACTAATAATTACATCTTTATGTATTAAAAGTTGGTTTAAATACGTTTTACTTTAAAACCTGTTCAACTACTGGGTAGTTTACCTTATAACTAACAATATAATTTATACTCCTTGATTGTATCAAATATGAATAAATTTAAATAATTAATTAAATAAATAATTTATCACGATAAAAGTTTAAAGCGTGCTAGTGTTTTAAATAAAAAAAAAAAAAAAAAAAAAACAACAAAAGCATCACGTACTGAATAATAAAATTATTGAAACAATATATTAAGGATAAACAATAAAATAAAAATAACAAAATCATACCATAAGTGGAGGTTTGCTGTCGCTGGGTAGAATGGGTGCCGACAATGGGCAACTGATAGTTAATGGCTGAAAATAATAAGAATACAAAGTGTTGCTTAGCACTGATGCTGCTTCTGATTTACCTTATTACACACGTCACCATGATCTGCTTTTATTTTATATATATTTACAATTATAAAATAAACAAAATTATTTTATAAAACAAATTGAAAGAAAATTTTGAATAACATGCTGAGAGTGAATAGAGCAAGTGTTGTCGCGAACGTGCGTAAAAATTATCATAATAAATCAGTGTTAAGAATTATTATGATTATTGTATTTAAAATATAAGTGTTTTGATGACTAAGAGTAGCTTATTAAATACCTGCTGCATTTCAACGCTTGCACGTTTGGAGCTTATTCTCCGGAAAAGTGACGTCTTCCTCTTCTTATCCGAATGATCGCGTTTTTGTTTACGCTGTCGGTGCAATGTCCTGCGGGCCATTTTACTTTGTGCGAGCTCGCGTTTCCGGCCGCCAGTCTTAATACTTGTATTCTCCAAGGGTGTGCTACGAAGTGTTACGTGATCTCCACCGCTGAGCATTAATTGTAACACTTGCGTATGATATAGACCTTGTACTGGTTCACCATTGATATGTGTGATCAGATCACCTGGTCTTAAACCAGCTTCAAATGCAGGGCTCGATTGATCTACAGCCTTTTTTAAAATTAAATTAGATTTATAATATTGTTTTATAATAATTGAGAAATTATGAAATTCTATCAATCATTTCAACTTTCTTGAACTCTTTATAGTTTTTTAAGGATTTTTTTAACATAAAGAAAATTAAGTTACTATCTATATTATTAAGAAAATAAAAAAAATTTTATTTCCAGGATAATCATATGATAAAATTGGTTTTTTTAGTGAAATTTAGTGTCATTGCAAAGGTCTTGACTTAAATGACCTTGTATCTTGTGAAATATTAACATTTTTAAAGATATAAGCTCATCTTGATGTTACACTCATCAAGACCTTTCATTCAAGTACCCACATCATTTTTTGATATATTTATATATATTGTATATATGTTATATATTATATATGAAAAATATATCAAAAATGCATGTGGGTACTCAAATGAAAGCTCTTGATGAGTGTAACATCGGGATGACCTTATATCTTTAAAAATGTCAATAATTAACGAATGACTTTGTATCTTGTGAAATATTGACATTTTTTAAAGATATAAGCTCATCCCATACTACGCTCATCAAAACCTTTCATTTGAGTACCCACATCAATTTTTCATATATTTATAGACTCAAATGAAAGCTCTTGATGAGTGTAACATCGGGATGACCTTATATCTTTAAAAATGTCAATAATTAACGAATGACTTTGTATCTTGTGAAATATTGACATTTTTAAAGATATAAGCTCATCCCGATGTTACACTCATCGAGACCTTTCATTTGAGTACCCACATCAATTTTTCATATATTTATAGATATTATATATATGTATATATGAAAAATATATCAAAAATGCATGTGGGTACTCAAATAAAAGCTCTTGATGAGAGTAACATCGGGATGAGCTTATATCTTTAAAAATGTCGATAATCAAAATGCATGTGCACCTTTCCGATGTTACCAAATTTAACCATAAAAACCCATTTTATCATGTATATAAACTGGCCGCAAAATTTCACTTATTCTCTTTATAATATAGATTAAAACTTTTACTGCCTCAAAGTAATCAACTTTAATTTAAAAAAATCATTAAAAATGATAAATATAAATATTAATAAATAAAAAATTACCATAACTAAATGATGCATTGTATAAAAATCACTATCTCCATAATAAACTCTTATAGTATGAACGGTGAAACCAAAACCATTCGGACCACGACGGATAATTATCGGAGGTTTCAAACTCGTAACAAGTGGACTTAATTCACGGCAAGGTGATGTATCTCTCGATGAAGCTGTTGATGAACCACCAGGAGATTCTATCGACTGGCATATAGACGGGTCGTCTGTAAATCATAAATAATTTTTTAATATAAATCTCCAATTAATTTTTTAATATAAATCATAATTAATGTTTTAATATAAATCTTTGCAAATTAATTAACTAATTATTTCTTGCACGTGAAAAATATTAACCGATCTCAATCATATTTAATTGAATAATTAATTGATACTCACATGAAAAATCATTCGTAGGAATAACGAGAGAAAGTCCACTGGTTGATGCTGATTTAATAACAGAACGTGATTTTTGTTTCGTGGTGAACGGAAGCGGTGCTGTGTTCAACGATTCAAATGAATCTGTACTTGAATTATATTTATCTTCCGCTATTTCTTTATTAGCTGCTGCTAAATCAATCCTGAGATAAGAAAAGTAATCCAATTAAAATAACAAGTAATTCAATTCATTTTTTATAATCACGTGCGAGTACATTTAAATGATAATAAAAAATAAAATATTCCTTTAATTTAAAAAAAAAAAAAAAAAAAAATTATAAATAAAACTAAAAATAAAAAATAAAACTTGCCAGCTAAGGCAAAATGACTCACATGTGATCACCATCAATGGAAATACTGAACCTGGGCAGCTTATCACGCGCATGATTATGTCTTCGTCTATGAATCTGCGGACTAATATCATCCGATTCAGTTTGCGAAGACTCCGGAGTGCTGAGATTAACACTTGCAGTATTAGGTGAAGTATTAACAGCACTCAAAGCTTCAGTTGGTTTCTTAATAACAGTATTACGCGATTCTCCACTACTGCTATTGTTGCTACTTCCGCTTAAAGTTGACGCTAGACTGCTATTTAATGAAACAGTCGAGTCCAAGCTTTTATTATGACTATCGAGACTACTGTCGAGACTCTTGGTACTATCCAAGCTCTTATTGTTAGCTTCATTACTACTGTCCTGAGTATTTTTGGCAGTGGGCGGCAGAGGAAAGCGATTTTTATCGATAGTCAACGAGGACAACGGATGACTTTTTTCGGGATTTAATCTCAGAGGGGGTGAATAGGAAGAGCTGGGTGATAATTGCGACACACTGCGTTCAAGTTCATTTCGGAAAAGTTGTTTTTTGGTAAAATCAAGCTCATTATTATCATTAACAAGAACTGGCGGTCTTGATTGGGATATTTTCCGTGATTGCGGTGAATAAGAAGAGAAACTTCCGAATAAAGGTGAATCATCAGTATCATCAGTATCCTCACCAAAATCATGACTGTAACGATCCATCCGTGTGTCAAAATAACTGGTGTCTTCTTCGTTAGTCAACTGAGGCACAAATTCGGCTTTTTGCCGCAAAAGTGTGTTCCAATTAACGTTAAAAAAATACAAGTGCTCTTTTACTTCATGAGCACCGCCAGTACCTAACCGCTCGCGCGGATTTTGCTGCAGTAAATTAGTAATAATATCTTTAGCTTCTGGTTGTACCACCCAGTCCTCTTCATCTGGCCACTCTATGTCATCATTAACTGTGTGGGCGAACAGCTCTTCAGGGGTTTCGCCGAAAAATGGTACACAGCCGATCAAAAATTCGTAGAGAATTATTCCCATAGACCACCAGTCAACTGGCTTGCCGTATCCTTGACGTAAAATAACTTCTGGGGCAATGTACTCGGGCGTACCAAAGACTTGTTTGTCAGAAAATTGCCGGGTGTCGCGATCAATATAGCCCTCGTACAAATTTGTCGCCAATGACATTAAACCCATTTTACTCAGACCAAAATCAGTCAATTTAATGTGACCAAGAGCTGTTATTAATAAATTATCCGGCTTTAAATCACGGTGGACTATTCCGTAGCTGTGTAAGTACTCAACTGCAAGTACTGTCTCGGCAAAATAAAATCGTGCCATATCTGGCGGTAATGGACCAATATTTTTAAGTAAGCTGGCGCAATCACCACCCTCTACGTACTCCATTACTAAACACAAGTGTTTTTTAGTCTCAAAACTGCAGTACATAGATACAACAAATGGATTATCTGTAAAGCTCATAATATCACGTTCTGCAAACACTTGATCAACTTGATTACGTAGCATTAAATTATTTTTATTTATTTTTTTAAGTGCTAAACGTTGGCGTGTTGTTTTTTCTTTAACTAAATATACCGCGCCATAAGCACCATTACTTATCAATTTAACAACCTCGTAATCACTTTCACATGGCACGCGTTGTTGTGATTTATTATCATCGTCTTTGTGTGGACTCGATGACGCTAAATCTAAATTACTGCTATTTAAACTTGCCGAATCTTCCAGTTTATTTATATCTTCTTGAAGATCTAAAAAAATATATTTTAAGATACGATTATCATAAATTTGTTATTTTTATTACACGGTATATATTACACTTTTAACTTTCATAAAATATATCGAGAGTTAAGATAACATTAATGTGTAAATATGTGTATCTTTAAAAGTTAATTAATGGACTTTTAATAAACAAACGTAATGTATTTTTAACTTACCAGATATGGGATCTCGATTAAGCGATAATTTACTAATAATATATTGAGGAATGTCTGCCTTTATCCCATTATTTATTTTAGCTTGACCCTCAGCTTGTTCTAATAAATGATAAAATTCTTCAGGATCAAATTCTAGGCACTCTAGTAGTCTAGCTGGCCGCGAAATTATCAACAATAATTTCTTAATTAACCCAGTTAAATGTGTCGCTGCCTCTAAAGATTTATCCTTCGTCTAAAATAAATCGTATAGTGGATTTTAAATATAATAATAATAATTGTTTGTAGCTTAAGTTAAATAACATTTCATATTATAAGGTGACAAAAAATATGAACCTCCATCAACAAGTGCTCAAGGCTTTCAGTCATCTCGTAAAAATAACGAGAAGTAATAAGTTTCTCTTGTGACTTTTGTAAACAGTCGCGTGCCATCTCTATTATTTGGTGATGAACAAATCTTATAATTGGTAACGAGTCTTGAGCCACATGCGAAACCACCTCGTATTCATCAATCTCTTTGTTTTCGTTTATAAAATTTGTAAGACGCTCCTCCATCTGTTGTGTTGCCTAATAACAATAAAAAAAAATAAATAAAATTAAGTAATAAAAATAATAAAAAAATTTTTAATATTATATGACTAATAAGATGGTTACTATGCGACTGCCGAGACTTGTAAACTTAAATAAATAAAATTTTACTTTGTTAAATAATGACTTGTGTTAAATTGCAATGTACTTTCTTAACGATTGATGTTTTTAAAAATATAAGCTCATCCCGTTGTTACACTCATCAAGAGCTTTCATTTGAGTACCCACATGCATTTTTGATATATTTTTCATATATACATATGTATAATATATAATATATATAAATATATGAAAAATTGATGTGGGTACTCAAATGAAAGGTCTTAATGAATGTAACATCGGGATGAGCTTATATCTTTAAAAATGTCAATAGTTCTCAAGATACAAGGTCATATCTTAATTATTGACATTTTTAAAGATATAAGCTCATCCACATGTTACACTCATCAAGAGCTTTAATTTGAGTACCCACATGTATTTTTGATATATTTTTCATATATACATATATATAATATATATAAATATATAAAAAAATTATATGGGTACTCATATGAAAGGTCTTAATGAGTGTAACATCGGGATGAGCTTATATCTTTAAAAATGTCAATAGTTCACGAGATATAGGGTCATTTCTTAATTATGTATCTAGAGATATAGAATTTTCGAATGCAGCCTAAACACTTATCATCATAAGTTGTGTATTGGTAAGAATAATATGAAATCTTGAAAAGGCACAAATTCAAATCAAGACCTTTCTAATGACACTAAATTTCACTAAAAAAAAAAACGATTTTATCATATGACTATCTTGGACATAAAATTTTTTTTACCCTCTTAATAATATAGATAAAAAAAATTTTTTAGTACTATATGACTAATAAGATGGTTATTACTAATATAAATTTTAATTAAAAAAGAAAAAAAAAACCAACAACAAATAGTATAAAAAATCATGTTGGGTAATAACTTATCCAAAGTTGTTTTTGAGTAATGAAAAGTAGACAGATAGGACGTCATGATAGTGTAAAAAAGCATGTTGCCCTCCGGGTTTACGGAACCCCGCGGTATTTGGGTCAGACAGATGACCTCGTAAAATAAAATGAACACAAGAATCGACGTAGTAGTCGCAATAATAGTAGAAGTTGTGGAAGAACAAGAAGAAGCAGAAGACGAAGAAATTATAGAGTAACAACCACATGAGATTTGACGTTATTTTTGAATGAATCAAACTCATTTGTCTTTATAACTTGGCATACTGGCGCACTGCCAGTATAAGCAATACAACCATTGTATATCGCTTATATATTTTCATAATACTTTTTATTACTATTTACTTATACTTTAGATTAGTAAGATAATTATTTATTAACGGTAAATAGATAAAATAATACCTTCGGAAAACGTTCTTTGTAGAGTGTATTCATCATAACGATTTCATTGTCAAGCACTGGCGATCGGCTTGGACTACTGTAAAGCATAAAGAGAAATTTATTTAACAATTAAATATTTAATTAAGTAAAAAGTGCAAGGATAAAAGTATAAGTAAAATTTAACAATGAATTATTTGAGTTAAAAAAAGAAATTTTTTTTTCTTTCCTTACATACATGATTATTAATTTTTATATATTTATATGTGACTTTAAATTGTAAAAAAAAATGTATAACTTTTTTTTCTCGTTAATTTGATATCTGCGATGAAATGGCAGCTTGGCTGTTAGATTGTGTCAGAAATAAATTTTTTTTTTCAATAATTAAATTTTTAAAGTTAATTCAAAAATTAGGATTTAAATTCCTAATTTAAACTTTTAAGATATATTAATAATAGATAAAAAAATAATTTTTTTCAGTGACTCAGTCTATTAATAGTAATTAAGTCAAATAAATAAAAAAAAAAAATTACCGTACACGGAAGAAACAAGATGACACTAGATATCATCCCAGATTATACTCAGTGTTATCTCCTGCATTTTTTTTTCTAGCGCCTGCGCAATTAACATTATCATATCTATTATGTATTTTAGATATTATGATAGTCAAATATTGTTTCAAATACTATCTGACATTTTTTTTCACCAGATATCACTGAGTATAATCTGGGGTGATATCCAGTGTCATCTTGTTTTTTCCGTTGTTTTTTTTTTTTATAAGAATGAACTTTTATTATTCTTTAGATAACTTAGAAAAAAATTTTTATATAAAATAAAAATGAAATATTAAACTTGCCTCAAACTGCGAGATCTTGGACGATGTAATGGTGATCTTCTTCCTTCTTCTTCAAGACTAAATGATATACTACCAGGAATGCTAGATATACTTGAGCCCGGGAATCCTGGATGCGAAGAACAAGGAGTCCCGGGCTTGGAGAAGTGACAAGACAGCATACGTAATTCATCCTTTGTTGGAATGTTTGGCAACTGATGTAAACGTTCCTGACTCGAACATTGTGACTGTTAAAATTAAAAGAAAAAAAAAAATGTATGTAGATTAGTTATTTTAAAATAATATTATATACTCGTTAACTTAGTTGTTAAACTAAGCCAACAGGAAATGACTCAGTAAATTATTTATAATCACCGATACGTTGCTGGAACCAGGAGTTGTTCCGTAACCACTCGAAGGCAGGCTTGCAACTGACCACCGTCTACCATCAGCAGTTCCTGCTCCGCAGCCAATTCTATTGTAAAAAAAAAAAAATTAATAAAATTTTTATTGATACAATAAAAAAATTAAATTAAATTACCTTTTGATTGGAGCAAATGCAAAATGAGGACTTGATGACATGCGTGGACTTTCAAGCGGACTGCCCACAATAGGAACAAAAGCTAAAACATTTAAATATTTATAATAACTATTATATATGTTGTGTTTGTTTATTTGAATAATTTATTCGTGATGTTACTGGCGACTTTATTAATGCTTTTAATCATTTAAATCTTTAGCATTTCGACTTTAGCTTTGTACAAAGTTTTTTTTTTTTGTAATCTTTAGTGAGTTAAAAGTGTTAAGTAGTGTTATTGTTAAATAAATTAAGCAACCATACTGTGATTGACGATCCATACTGAGAAGCTATTGCAATCTCATCGTCTATTTGACTGTTACAACACATATATATTATTTGCGATAAAATCTATCGCGTGCCAAAAAATTTTAAAGATTTCGTCACTCTCAATACGATACATGGCTACACCTTATTAAACAGTGCCAACGGTTATAGTTATATTGAGTACTGTTGATATTATTGTTTATTGTTTTATGATCTAAATTAACCTATTTATCTTAAAGTTACACGATCCCTCGTAATTGTCATAAATAATGTACATTATTGTAGAAATAAAATTGAGTAAATAATATAATACTAGCAACCTTGCAGTCACTATGTGACTGCCATGACTTGTGAACTATAAATAAAATTTTGCTTTATTAAATAATTACTTTTGATAAATTGCACTGTACTTTCTTAAATATTGACGTTTTTAAAGATATAAGCTCATCTAGATGGTACACTCATCAAGAGCTTTCATTTGAGTACACACATGCATTTTTGATATATTTTTCATATATACATATATATAATATATATAAATATATAATATATGAAAAATTGATGTGGGTACTCAAATGAAAGGTCTTGATGAATGTAATGTCGGAGTGAGCTTATATCTTTAAAAATGTCATTAGTTGACAAGATAGCAAAGTTAGTTCTTAATTATTGACATTTTTAAAGATATAAGCTCATCCCGATATTACATTCATCAAGAGCTTTCATTTGAGTACCCACATGCATTTATATATATTTCTCATATATACATATATATAATATATATAAATATATGAAAAAATTGATATAGGTACTCAAATGAAAGCACTTGATGAGTGTAACATCGGGATGAGCTTATATCTTTAAAAATGTCAATAATTAAGAACTAACTTTGCTATCTTGTCAACTAATGACATTTTTAAAGATATAAGCTCACCCCGACATTACACTCATCGAGCTCATCCTGATATTACATTCATCAAGAGCTTTCATTTGAGTACCCACATGCATTTATATATATTTCTCATATATACATATATATAATATATATAAATATATGAAAAATTGATGTGGGTACTCAAATGAAAGGTCTTGATGAGTGTAACATCAGGATGAGCTTATATCTTTAAAAATGTCAATAGTTCACAAGATACAAGGTCATTTCTTAATTATTGACATTTTTAAAGATAATAAGCTCATCCCGATGTTACACTCATCAAGAGCTTTCATTTGAGTACCCACATCATTTTTTCATATATTTATATATATTATGTATATGTATATATGAAAAATATATGAAAAAATGATGTGGGTACTCAAATGAAAGGTCTTGAAGAATGTAACATCGGGATGAGCTTATATCTTCAAAAATGTCAATAGTTCACGAGATACGATACCAAATTTAACCATAAAAATCAATTTTATCATATAAATACACTGGCCACAAAATTTTGCTTATTCTCTTAATTATATAATAAATATATTTAATATTTTACCAGACATTGGTGAGTGACATCGAGGTAGAGTGGGTGAAGTTGTCGCGATAAAGGATTTACGTTGTGCTGCTTTAGCTGCCCGTCGAGGAATATTAAATTCGCGCTGAAAATTTCAATAAATAATTATTATTAATACTAATTATAAATTAACATAAAAATTAATTAATTAATTAAGTTTCAATGACTTACCATGTGAACTGAGAGTGATGGCGCAGATTTACCGATAGCAGAATTACGCATTCTCACAAGGTTAGACAATTCGTTGCCAGCTGCAAGTATAAATAACAAAATATATCTATCACCAATTGATTTTATTAGTTATGCAAAAGGTACCAAGTTATGACATACAACAAATAGTTTTAATCAACAGGCAAAGAGCAGGTGTACATAATAAAATGTCAATATATATATATTTAAAATATAAAGTATGTTTAATACTTACAAGCACGAACTGGTGCCTCTTTGCTCTCAACTTTCGCTGGCAGTGACCTCCGAGTAGTCTCTGGTTCCATTGGATTATTTTTATGATCCTCAGACTCAGCTTGATCGAACACAAGAACCCGTGAGGGATTTCCATGTGACCTTAGCCGTGGTCGACTTGGTCTATTGCGTCCAGGATCCATTTTTTTAATTATTTATACTATTAACGCTAGCTGGCTGGCTATTTTTTTAATTCCTTTTTTCCAGCAAAGCTATTTATTCTCTCAGTTATTTTTTTAAAATGTATTTATTCAAGTTCTTCTTTTAGATTTATCACAGAAATACTAAACAAATAATTATTTTAGGATTAACATATCTCATATCACTTTTAAATCCACCAATTATCATTGTTTTTTTATTACTTAACTTTCTACAACGTAAGTACAATATACTTCAGTTAATTAACAATAATGTTCATTATCAATTATCACTTGATAAATAAATATAATATTTAATTTTTTTTTTAAATTCAATTATCAAGTCACTTTTATTTATTAAAAGTTTAAAAATTAAATATGAAAATAAAGTTAGCCATCTAAAAATTTTAATAATTTTTTTTTTTATTAAAAAAAAATTTTTTCATTTGTTAAAATTTCCTAAACTAATAAGTAGTATATATATATATATATATATATATATATATATATATATATATATATATATATATATATATATATATATATATATATATATATATATATATATATATATATATATATATATATATATATATATATATATATATATATATATATATGTGTGTGTATCATTGTTTTTTTATTACTTAACTTTCTACAACGTAAGTACAATATACTTCAGTTAATTAACAATAATGTTCATTATCAATTATCACTTGATAAATAAATATAATATTTAATTTTTTTTTTAAATTCAATTATCAAGTCACTTTTATTTATTAAAAGTTTAAAAATTAAATATGAAAATAAAGTTAGCCATCTAAAAATTTTAATAATTTTTTTTTTTATTAAAAAAAAATTTTTTCATTTGTTAAAAATTTCAAAAACTATAAGTGCAATTTTTTAAAAATATTTTTTAGATAATAATAAAGTTAGCCGATTTTTAGATTTTTTTTATTTTACTTATGAAATTAAATTTATAACTAAAAAAATATTTTTAAAAAATTGCACTTATAGTTTTTGAATTTTTTTACAATTGAAAAATTTTTTTTTAATTTTTTTGCAATAATTTGTTTTAATAAAAAAAAATTATAAAAATTTTTACATGTCGGCTAACTTTATTTTCATATTTTTTAGTTATAATTAATAAATTAAGCAAAATAAAAAAATTAAAAATGTCTGCTAACTTTATTATTATAGATTAAGTAATAAAAAATTTTGACACTTAAATTAAATTTAATAAAACTTTAAAAAAAAAAAAAAAAAAACCAAGTTCTTTAAAAATGGATGAATAAATAATGAAAAAAAAAAAATCAATGTACCTTGTAAAAAAACCCTTGAATATCCAGGAAATAATAAAACATCAGTCTGCAGAAGGTAGCGATGAAAAAAAAATATCCATAAATGTGTAATATAAAATAAAATATTTTTTCGTTGACTGAAAACACGGAAAAACTTTTATTTAATAACTCACTTAAAAGATAACACAACAACTGGCTCACTTTTATTTAATTATTTATTACACACTTAATAAATATTAATAATTAAAAAAATATTACCGTGAAAAATTTATCGACTTCTTGATATCAAAGTGTGTAAAAATTAAATGGATGAATATTAATTTATCACCAATTAATTAGTCCTCAATTTTTTAGGAGTAAATAATAACCGTGATGATGATTTGACTTGTTTGGATTGAATTAAACTCTCGGAGGAATAAGTATAAGTGAATTGGGAGGACGACGGTACACGATAAACCTGACGAGTCTAAGTGGCATCCTCGTGGACTGTTTTTATAAAGAAACTTGACGATTGTTATTTGTATTGACGTGCAACCGTGACCCGGGTTGTTGTGCGACGACTACGATCGACGATGGATCGCATCGCGTTTAACCAAACGTTCGAGAGGGAAATTAATTACGAAACGTACCACTCGGCCATGGGTTCCTCTGTGCTCTGACTCATGACGGACGGAACGAATACGGCTGGCCAACGACAGCGACAGAACACAGAACACAGGCGCACTATTCCAATACCCACGTATATATTTACTGCTTGCTAGTTAAGAGTTGCAAGTTGCAAGTTGCTGGGTTGCTGGGACACACACGGGATGTATATATGTACGTACACTGGAGTGAGTCAGTGTGTGCCAAGTCACACCTAATGATGTTCTGTATGTTTCAGGCGGGTTAGTAGTCTATAATCTATATATACTCGTGTTGCTCATGTTTAGGACCTGGATTATTGGAAAAGGATATACATACATTTTTTTTCTCTTTCTTATACACTTTTGTTTTGTTCCGCTTAGACGGTAAGAAGAATGTACGAATTTTAGTGCCGGTAAAAAGATTATCTCTCTTGTTGATCAATTTTATGTTTTAAAGTTTTAATTATAACACTAAAGTTAGCCGACGTTTTTAATTTTTTTTTAATTATTAAATTAGAACTAAGAAATATTTTTTAAAAATTGCACTTTGAGTTTTTCAAGTCTTTTATAAATGAAATTTTTTTTTTTTTATTATTTTGCAATAATTTTTTTAATAAAAAAAAAATTCTAAAAATTTTTAAATGTCGGCTAACTTAATTTTCATAAATTAATTTTATGACATTAAATTTAGGATGAAAATTAATTTAGTAGATATTTTATAACTTTTTTTTAATAAATAAGTAGTCAAAGAAAATAAAAAAAAAAATAAAGAAATAATTTTTTAGAGCAAATTTATTTATTAAAAAAAATTAAAAAATGCTCCAGTGACTGCTAACTCTAATGCCATAATTTAGCTGTCACTTAACAATTTTGTTTAATAAATAAATTATAGCAAAAAAAATTATTTAAAAAATGGAATTTTAGAAATTATAATAAATTAAAAATGCAATTTTTTTAAAATAATTTTTTAGAATAAATTTAAAAAAAAAAATTAGAAAATTGTCAAGTGACAGCTAAATTTTATGTCATATTAATTTTTTATTATAATAAATATTTAATTTAATCGCTCAAACAAAATATCTTTTATTATTTATAGGACTGTAATTAAAAAATTATCTGGCAGTTTTTAGGATTTTTATTAAATAAATTAATTGTAGAAAAATTATACTATTATAAATTACTGATAAATAAAATATAAATTTTATGATACTAAAAAGTTAGCCGAGGATTTTAATTTTTTGATTTTTTTTTTTTTTATTAATTAAATTAGAACAAAAAAATATTTTTTAAAAATTGCACTTACAGTTTTTAAAGTTTTTTACAAGTGAAAAAAATTTTTTTTTGTAATTATTTTTTCAATAAAAAAAAATTCTAAAAACTTTTAATAAATTTTTTATATTCGTCAATTTACTATTAAAAATTCTTTGAAAACTATTATAGTCTTCATAAATTAAAAAAAAAAAAAATAGTGTCAGTTTACAAAAATTTCAAAATAACTAATAATAATTATTATTTCATTATTTATAACAATTTTATGTAATAATCAATCACTTGTTTGAAAAAACTGAACAACTGTTTGACGTCAGCTGTTTTTAATAATATTTCAAAGAAAGTGAAAAATTCTAATTTAATTTAATAATTGACTGATAAAATATTTAATAAAATTATTTTTAAATTACAAGTAAAAATAAATTGCAAAATAAAATAAAAATTTGGCAGCAATGATACTTATGATAATTCAAAAAACATTCGACCAAGAGCGGCGGAATGACGTTTTCCGTTCGAATATTTTCAACAATAGTCATACGCAACTTTTATTTTGTCCATTAATAATTTATTTAGCCTTAAACAATGTCGTAGTTTCAATAAGCCCAGCTGTCAATAATAACAGTGTTAATAATTAGTCGTATTGAAATACCCGGAAATTATATTCACTGATAACTATTGACAACAAAAACCAGTGGATGAGTGATACTTCACTTTCCTCGTGAGTATAGGTTATGATTAATATTTTATTAGTTTATTTTATATATATACTTACCACGTGGTAATAAATTAAACTTATAAATAATATATTTATTAAAATAAAAACAGGTTTTTTCGGAGGTGACTAGACATGTCCTGGCATTACAAATTTAATTTATACGGAGGCTCATCAAATTTAGTTTCATTCATACCTGCAAGTGCATCAGTGTCATCATCCTCTTCAACATCATCAAAATCATCATCAACAGCAATAACAACAACAAACAATGATTTCAAATTAATAAAAGAACGTCAACGTCCATTTTGGTTGCAATTAATCGTGATATTTTTTTCAAAACGAATGCTGTATGCTGCTGCTCAATATGGAATTTCATTTGGTGTGATGCTTCATTATCACACACGTTTAGGTTTCCATTTGTTTCTACTTGCTGCATGCATACAGCACAATGGAAATAATTAAATTATAAATTATTGTCGTCACTCGCCATTATTATTATTATTATTATTATTATTATTATTATTATTATTATTATAATTGTTAAGTTTTAATTTACTAAAAAAACATTTAATGTTTTTAAAGTATTTAGAGTTGGTGAAAATTTCATTTTTTTTCTCTGTTACTATTTAAGCTTGCTTAATTAAAGTGAAATATTGACAGGCGGGTATTATATAATATAAAATAATAAATAAATCAAAATGTTGACGTTAAGAAGGGTGTTGTTGATAAATAGAAAACTAATTGTTAAACAAAGTACGGTGAAATTGACGGTTCACCGTACCAGCGCACTAGGAAATAATTGTTACCAGTTTCATCTGTCACGGTCATTATACAATGAATCATCGTCATCATTAGCCAAAATTAGTCGGCGTGGATTGCTCAGGATAAATAATAGCATTTTAAATAAAACACCTCACCGATATATTTCACCGACAGTCGCCTTATTGATAAGACCGCTCACGAGAATTGGCGCACTGTTGTTTGGAAGATTCTTCAGAAAATGGTGGGCCAAGAAAACTTCAGAGGAAAAGAAATTGTATATAGACTGGGTCTCGAAGCAACGGCAAAAAATATACGGTATTATATTTTATTCTTTTACTAGCAACCTTGCAGTCACTATGTGATTTTTGTTAAATTGCACTGTACTTTCTTAAATATTGACATTTTTAAAGATATAAGCTCATCCCGATGTTACACTCATCAAGAGCTTTCATTTGAGTACCCACATGCATTTTTGATATATTTTTCATATATACATATATATTTATATATAATATATATATAAATATATGAAATATTGATGTGGGTACTCAAATGAAAGGTCTCGATGGGTGTAATGTCAGAGTGAGCTTATATCTTTAAAAATGTCAATAGTTCACAAGATATAAGGTAATTTCCTAATTATGTATCTAGAGATAAATTTTCGAATGCTGCCTAAGTACTTATCATAATGAATTGACTATCGATGAGTAATTAATGCTAATTTTATTTCTTCCAATTTTTCTAGGGGCCCTAGGATTTTTTATGGCGAGTCTTTTTATGTTCTACATAATGAATATTGAGGTTGATCCATTAACTGGAAGATCCAGATTTATTATTATGACTTCCAATCAACAAAAAGTCCTCGGAAGACTTACTTTTGAAAATGTAAAGATGTTTTATTTTAATTAAAAAAAATTTTTTTATGATAGTGAAAATAAGAGACGTCTGAAAGTTTATTTTTATTATTAATAATATAGGCAATATTTTTTGAGCCAAAAATTTGATAAAATTCGCATAACTATCACGACTATAAAAATATATCAGATGTCTGTTAGTTTCAATGTCATTTTGATAGAAATTTTTAATTATTAAAAGAATTATTCTTTGAAATAGTATTTGGAGAACTTTAAAGACTTTATAGTACCTACCACGCATCCAGCGTACAAAAGATTATTAAGAGTAGTAAATAGAATATTAGAAGCTAATCAAGATTTACCTCAAATTAAAGAAAGAGAGTGGACGTTATCTGTAATTGATAAGGATGATCCAAACGCTTATGTCTTACCAGTAAGTAGCTCCAATTTTTAATTTTTTTTTTTTTTTTTTTTTTTTTTTTTTTATGTACTACTTTATTAATTGCTTACTTTATTTTATTTTAGGGTGGAAATATTTTTGTTCACATAGGAGCATTAAAATTAACTGAAAATGATGATCAACTGGCTATTATAATAGCTCACGAGGTCGCTCATGTTCTTCTACAACATCCTGTAAGTTTGCTAATAAATCCACAAATATTCTGATTTTATTTATTGACGAAAATAATAGAAGAAGAAATGTTAACAAAAAAAATAAATTAATCGTATAAATTTCAGATTGAACAGATTTCTAGAAATCTACTCCAAGATATTTTGATGGCTGTACCCATCGCTGTAGTATGGGCACTGTTTCCTGATCTATTGGCATTGTTACTCCAAGCACTTGGAATAAATATGTTTGATATCCTCGTAACGTACCCATACAGCAGAAAGCTAGAAAATGAAGCTGATAACATCGGACTGCAGTTGGCTGCCAAAGCTTGTTATGATGTGCGACACGCTGTTGTACTGTGGGGAATAATGAGGACGCTTGCGGAATTAAACATAAAACCTGAAGTTGTTCCTTGGCTCAATACGCATCCTAATCATGAGGACCGAGAGAAAAATTTAACCAAACAATTACCTCTAGCGATTGCCACCAGACAGCAGTCAGGAGTAATTTTTTTTTCTTTTTAATTTTTTTTATAACATATTTTAATAGAGTACAGATTTTTTCAACTAACTTTAACTACTTATTTTACAGTGTCCAATACTGAATCCAGCTGATCCAATAAAATACTTTAATTCGCTGAGTCTTAAAGAGCGAGAAATAAAAATGGAACGAAGAGGTTTCGTGCAATCAAAGATACTGTTATAAGAGCGAATATTATCATCAATCATTTATTTAATTATCATAGTTCAACAATTAATTTATAAACTTTTACTTTCATTAGTATTTATTGCAAAGTAGTTTTAAGTTTGCAAAAAAATCATTTATTAATTGTATTTATTTCAATGCTGAATATTTTATCTTGAATGTGACAATTATTTTTCGAAAAGCAATAAAAATATTCTAAAAGTTACATAACAGAAAATTTATTTTTAAAAAATGTCAACCATCCTTTTCAATCATTTATATTCACTTTATTATAATAATAATAATAGTGATATTAGATGATTTCATGTATTTAATTATAATAAATATCATTAGCGGACACAACTTTGTGAAAAAACGATTGTCTTATCTCTTTTTATTCTTCCTGTACTTGAATTATTGAAGGTTCCACTTGCGAGTCATCCGCGGACTTGATCACTGTAAATTTCTCACAATTAACAAACATTTTTTCAACCATGCACGCAATTAATTTATTAACACTACTAGTTACATTTTTGACTTACACATCAATTATTTCTTCTTACAACATTGTTGTGAAAAATGCAATTGTTGCTCGAAATCGCGATTTTTCATATTTTGGATACACTGTTTTGCTTCGAAAGCCTTGGTAATTATTTTCCTATTTTCAATGCAAATTTTTAATTAAAAATTATTTTTAATACAAATTTTTGCATAATATTAAAATTAGCCGACATCTAAAAATTTTTATTATTTTTTTTATTAAAAATTTATTTCAAAAAAATTTTTTTCATTTGTAGAAAAATTTCAAAATCTATAAGTGCAATTTTTTAAAAATATTTTTTAGTTATAACTTAATAAATTAATCAAAATAAAAAAATCAAAAATGTCGGCTAACTTTATTATTATTTAAATTACAAATAAAAAAATACTTAAAAAAAATTGCACGTAAATTTTTTCAAATCTTCAACATATGAAATTTTTTCTTTTAATTTTTTCAATAAAAAAAGCTATTAAAATTTTCAGATGACGGCTAATTTAATTTTCATAATTTTTGCATGATACTAAAGTTAGCCGACGTTTTTTAATTTTTTGATTTTTTTTTAATAATTAAATTAGAACAAAACAATATTTTTCAAAAATTGCACTTATAGTTTTTGAAGTTTTTTACAATTGAAATTTTTTTTTTCTTCTTTTTTTCAATAAAAAAAATTATTAAAACTTTCAGATGTCAGCTAATTTAATTTTCATAATTTTTGCAACTAAAGTTTTTATTTTTTAAAGGATGATTGTCGGAGCGCCAAAAGCTAATTTTACTTCAATACCAAGAGGTTTGCAAGCTCCCAGAGAACCAGGTGCCTCTTATAGGTGCAATTTAAAGAGTATAAAATGTGAGCAATTTAGACCAAGTGACGTTAATGATGAATCAGGATTTATAACTCAAGTTAATTACAATAGTTTAGTTAAAAAAGCGTACGGTTGGTTTGGCGCCTCAATGGCGTTAGATGAAAATGATGATCTTATAACAGTAAGTTGTTATTCTTAATAAAATATTTTTATATCCAGATTCTTATTGTAGAAAAAACGACAGGTTTGCGCACCAAGGACAATTTTATCAATTTTTTCAATTCTTGACAAACATATTAGCATGCATGGCGTTTGTTACAGTGGAAAAATATCTTCAGGAAATTTACAACTTGAAGATAACTTTAAATCTCATGGTATGTTATTAAAATTAATCTAATTTTATTTTTTTCATCATTGTTAATTTTTTTTTTAAGATTTTTTATCTAGTTTCTGGTACAATTCTTTGCATGGATTTTCTATCCACTATTCAAAGGCGATCAACAACAAAGAAAAAGTGAGAATGATTACTGGGGCGCCAAAGCATGAAGTCATCGGCACGGTCCAAATCAAAGGTCAAAAAACAAGCGCAACGCTTCCGACAACTGATGACTTGACTCAATTTGGTATTTTATTAATTAAATAATTAATTTAATTATTTATAATTCAATATATTATTTTTATTAATATTTTACATTTCTTCAAGGTTATTCTGTTACTTCAGGAAGATTTTTTAACAAGAGCAAAGTTCTTTTTGCCGCCGGCGCTCCGGGATGGAATCTAATTGGCCAAGTAAAGTATTAATTGTAATTGTTAATTATTAATTGGATAAAATTAATTTCTTACTGGCCAGGTGGGAATCTTGGACTCGGGAGTGGATTCATTAAAATTAATAATGAGTATAAAAGGACAAATAGTCGGTGAATACTTTGGAGGAAGTTTAGCGGTTGGAGATGTCAATAATGATGGGTATGATGATCTTATAATTGGCTCGCCTCATTGGGGAAATGATAATGGAAGAGTTTATATTTATTTTGGAAGTAGTAATGTAAGTAATTATTAATTAATATATTAACGCTCTAATAGGTCATTTTTGTAAATTAATTTTTGGCGCGCTAGAGGTTTTTAGAACCACCGATTATTATTGATGGACCGAAAGAAGACAGCTGCTTTGGATATTCTGTAACTAGTGGGGATATTGATTCAGATGGATACTATGGTAATTTTTATAAATAAGTTAGCTTCATTCTTTAATTTAAAAAGTATACTCTCTCTAATTTGGAAATAACTTGGCAATTATTAACAATTAAACATTTTTTTTTATTCTGCTTATTTTTGCAGAGCATTTATGATAAAAAATGTCGTAAAAGGAAAAAATAAAGATTTCGAGAGTTTTTTTGCCTTTAAAAGTTAGAAAAAATATTGGCTTTCATGTTTTTGGATAAAATTTCTATTTTATCTTTTTTTGATGTTCTTAATACCTATATATTTTTTTTTAAAATACATAAAAAAACGAACAATAAAAAAAATTAATCAATTTGATAAAAAAAAAAAAAATTTTTTTCTATGGCCAAATACAGGGCAGAACGGGGTTGACCTCACTTGTAAATAATTACCAATATTTTCTCAATGTAAAATGAAAATCTATATATTATTCAAAACAAATCTTTTTTAATCTTTTCAAATTTTGATTCATTTTAAATTTCCTTTTCTAAATAGGGCTGATTAAAAAATCTAATTTGAAATTATTAAAAACAGTTCTAAATTATTTGAGTTGACTAATAAATATATATATGTATATACTTTGTATGGATTGAATCATTTAAAATTAGATTTTTTAATCAGAGTAATCATCATTTTTTATTAAATTTCATATTCCGAAACAAAATTCTTTATGAAGGTAAAAAAAAATCGATAATTTATAAATTATAAATAATATACAGCAATAATTTCATTAAAATAATTAAATAAGAAATTTTAAGATTTTAGTTTCTTGATCAAGCAGAAATAAAAGTTGTTAAACACTGTGTAAAATGATAATTTATAATTAATGTAACACCTTGTAGCTACAATCTCGTTGTTGAAAACGAGATTCGGGAACTTGTGGCTGAAGTGGATGTTGAGTTGGTTATTATCAACTGGTACTTTAAGAGTGTTGATGTTTATATCTTTACGTGGTCGGAGCATCCTGTTTATTTTTGGAAAGAATTCGTGAGAATTCTTGTAGTTGATGTTTTTTACTTGAGCTTCCCAGTACGCTGAAACAGATCTTTTAAACTCTTTATGTAATAGTTTATTAATTCGTTTGATGGTTGACTTTATTCTGAAGTTTTCTTGACGGCTGATGACTAGACCTTTGAATTTCCTGCTGATGAGATAAGATTTATAGGCGTGAAGTCTTTTGATATTTTTATTGTTGTATTTAATAAAATAATCTTCATTTCTCTTTATTCTAGGAACTGTTTTTTCAATTGCTTTATTTATTTTATCTTCTAAGAGTGTGATGCAGCTATTAATTTCCTGGATTGAGAGATTTCGATCGCTGGGTATGATGACTTCTTCGCTGTAGTTCTCAAGCAGAGATTTGTTAAATCTGCGCCAGTTTGTCTTCTTGTAATTGTAGGTCACTTGATCAGTTAAATTATTACTTAGGAAGCCAGGGTGAATATTGTCGAGGCATAATGTTAGTGTGAATGCCACATGATCACTGTCATACGGTAAAGTTTGAAGTTTGCCGTTGATGAGATTATCTACTTCCAATCTCATATCTATGATACAATGATCAAGATATGAGTTAGCGTTAGGATAAGTCGGTGTATTTGGTGATAGTAGAGCAGCTTTAAACTCAATATGATTGTTGTCCAGCCATTCAATGAGTTTGTCACCTCTATCGTTAGACGAAGTGTCTCCCCAAGTAATATTTTTAGCATTTAAATCGCCTCCAATCACGTAGTATTTATCACAATCGTCAAGCCGAAAATTGTTCATCATTTTGTGTAGCTCCACTATGAAGGTGTTTCTGGTGCATTGTGTAGCATATATGCTTATAATGATGAGATTAGCTTTAATATTTAATCTAATTTTGATGGCCGTAAATTCGACTACTTTATTTGTAGATGAATTAGGATGATGGATGGTTGTAAATTTAAATTTCCGGTTTATGGCTATTGCAGTACCTCCTCCTCCTCCTTTTTTGGAGTTAGGCCTGTCTGATCTGATGAGTTCATGTTGTGAAAGTTGGATTTTATGATTTGAATTTAATTTTGTTTCTGAAATTAGGCAAATATCTATTTTGTTATGATCAATAAAAGTTTGTAGGTCATACCTGCGTTTCAAGGTGACTATGGAATTGGCGTTAATAGCCGCTATTTTTAGTTTGGTAGGCGCAACACGCGCCATTATTCGTCCAAACCAAGAGAAGACATTATTATGTCTATTCTATTAGCGTTTAAGTTAATTTTATAATTGATCTGCTTGATTTCTTTAACGATATCGTTTTTGAAGGAGTTGAGGATTGATTCCAGACTATCTGTGATGTTACCTTGGTAGTTTGTGTCCGCAGGTGTTATTGGATTGATGTTACTTGCTGTTTGTACCCTAGCGAGGGGTACTTTCGGTCTAGGGAGTGGCGGGAAGCTGTTATTTTTGTTTATATTGAACATATTAGCGTATGATATGTCAGGATTAGTATATTTATTAATTGCGTTAGCTAGATTTCGTTTTTTGGCTTCGTTTTGCTGTCTGTGTTGGATTTTAATTTTTGTAATCAGCTTGAGTGCTGGACATCCCTTATAACTGGCTGGGTGGCCAATTTCATCACAGTTTGTACATCTGAGGAATTTTTTATCTGTACCTGCCTGGAGGGTACAATCTTTGGCTTCGTGTTCGCCGGCACATTTGACACAGACCGGGGCCATGTGACAGTTGGAGCTAGAATGTCCTGTTTGTTGACATTTTTTACACATGAAAATTGTTGGCCTTCTCAACCTTTCCCATCTGATAGGTTGTGATAGTAAAGATTTTAGGCGTGTCAGTGTAGCAGTTTTGCTGTCCTGCGACACTGAAACCAGGAAATGAAAGAGCTGTGGTTTGCTTCTGTCAAATATTAATTTACTGACCTTTGTTATTGTGATGTCTTGTAGATTGAGTTCAGTCAGGGCCGCCTTGACATCATTTTCATCATAGCCACCCCGTACGCCTTTGAGTACAATGGTTTTTATTTTCAGGTGTCTGGGTGTATAAGTAAAAAATTGAATTTTCTTTTCTTTTAATATTTTTAAGCTTAAGTCGTAGGTCGCGATGTCATTAGGATAAATCCTTATATAATTATCATCAAATTCACGAACTATAAAATTAGTTTTTGGTACATTATTTGTAGTGAATAGCATTGTTGTGTCTTTAATACTCCCGGTTTTAGCAAAAATGGGGGGTGGTTTACTTTTCGGTATTTTATTTTGCTCCATTTGGGCACTTTTGACATTTTGACTGCTATTTTGTTGATTGCTTTCGATATTTAGTTTGGGAGATATTTTTTTCTTGCCTTTGTGATTTCTTTTATTAGTTGACGTTGTTTCGCTGTCGGATAAATCTGATTCCGTAAGGGGATCGTATTTATTGTTGGTGCTGGTTCCAGCTGTTTGTAAAGTGCGCCTTATCTTCGCGGGCTTGCGCGGTTTTAAAAATTCTTCGCCGTCGTGGTTCATGGCGCCATCTGTTGGGTCGCTGTCTGACATTGAGGAAGTTCTGCTGCGGGGTTGCTTGAGGTTGGGAGCCCCTGTTGCTTGTTTGTTAGCTTTAAGGATATTTTTGGCAATCATACCCGTTTCGATATATTTTTTAAACAATTTGTTGTCTAATAGATTAGTATTATATTTAATAGTTGGTTTTATAGCCGGTGTTTGTGGTCCGGTAGAAATAGCTGGGGTCTGGGAAGCGTCGCCAGTTTCACCCATTTTGAGGCTAGGTTTTTGTGTACGGTCGCGTTTACCAGGATTTATTTATAAATAAATAACTGGGCACTATCAAACACACTGAATTAGCAATATTTATTTGTTATAAACAACTTCACAATTTTATATACTGCTTGCGCATTAGTAATATAAGAAAAATGTATGAAATAGAGAGACGCACTCACACACGATCTATCTCGTACCGTTGCCGGCTTGAGACTGTTGGCTCAATGGTCTAGGGGTATGATTCTCGCTTTGGGTGCGAGAGGTCCCGGGTTCAAATCCCGGTTGAGCCCACTTTTTGGAAATTTTTGCCGTAGTTTAATTGGAAAACGAAAAAAAAAAAAAAAGCCATGTAATAAATTTATACTTTTTGCTTCATGAATATGCAAGAACCTTTATCGCATGAGCTAATTTCGTGAAACAATATAATTTTTCTGGGCACAATATACAGAATTGTTGTAATTATTACACGAGTAAATGTCATAAATCCTATTGCGGGTTAATAATAACAATAAAGTTTAATTAAGAACAAATCACTGTCAACTCTGTCGCGCACGCTAAACCGACAAACCAACTAAATTTATATTTAAATTTATGCAAGCTAACTAAACCATCGCTGGTATATTGGTCTTGTGAAAGTATAAACACCTATATAGATAGGTGTATATATGTATAAGGACCAAGAATTTCACGGTTACGATTCGCTGACCCGATTAATACGTGTACACTAGAATGAATCACTGGAATCACTTATCGAGAGACTGAGAAACACTTTCCCGGCGTGCAAGTGATAGCGTGATGTGTACAATCGATATTGTCATAGGTCAAACGAATCTTAATTCAATAGAGATCTAAATTTCAATTCAGACACTTCAAATTAACAACACTCTGAATTGGTTCTTTTTCGAATGTTAAACAAAGTCAATTTTCTTTCATTTTAATGGATACATTGATAACGTGATTTCTAATCTATACGGACTTATTTACTCAACAACCTAATATCAATCATCGCATGTGTAAGATAGATGCATATCAATTAGTTGTGATGAGTACTCATGGAAATTCTAGTCTGATATTGACGCATCAAACCATCTACCTAGTAGTACTAGCCGGTCAAAACGCTGCTGTATTGGCCCGATACTGCCGAGAGATCAATTTAATTGTTCCATTTATCTATGCAAGTTTACTAACTTTCTACCAAATAGTAGCTTTAATAAAGTCATAATGTAAATATGGTTGTTGCAAAAAATTATATGACATGTA